GAGTAGAGAGAACAAATGGTTATGCGGTTTTACAAAGATGTTTATATTTTTTTTTTTCATTGGACAACTCATCTACCAGAGATATTGTGTAACACCTTTTCTGAAAGGAAATCGGTGGTACTTTATTGAGGTTATTTTTCGTTTTTCTCAAGTTTTCTTATCTAAATGATTTTTTTAATTTCGCACACGGATGGTTATTATGACGTAGGTATCCGCTAGAAAAAGATTTTTGAAAATTCAACCACTAAGGGTAAACTAGGGGTTTCTAGGTATGTTTGGTAAGAATATCTAATTACTTATTTATTAATTTTTGTTTATGCGAGTGTTATCTTGGTGTTACGGATGATTTCCCGGATGATTTGGATGGTTGCCATGGAAAATAAAACTATTGTAATTATTATTAATACTTTTATTAACACTATTAAAATGTCATAATAGAACACATTTAGTCCACCGATGATGGACTACCTACCTTCCACCTATTTGTTTTTATTCAGTTCCGACGCGGTAAAAACGAAATATGGGTAAAATAATAACGGGCATGGGCAATGCTGGGCGCGGGACAGCTGGTATACAATAAATTAGAATTCCAATAATAAATAACGCGTTGTTCATATAAAAAGCGAAGGAAAATTTTTGGGAAAATATGTAAACGGATAAATCATCCCCTCCACAGATGCATCATCATATACTACGACAGTGAACGAAGAAGAAGAATACGAGGAAAACGCTTAACAATATAAATAAGGACCGGTAATCCGATACCTATAATACATAAGACAGTGTCGAATGTCAACTTAATTGAATTTTGGTAACAATTTCGATATTTTACTTTGTTAAAATGCTAAGTGACAACGTAATAACCACATCGCGGTTAAATAGATAAAATTAAATAAATATTTCCGTATTCAATTTTATAATTTGTTTTTCCATATAAATGTTAAATCGTGTTTTTTTAATAATAAATAATATTAACAATTGATATATGTACTCGTATTTTGTAGTTTGTTTTTATATTTAGTTTTAATGTTGTCAAATATCGAATTCTAAATGTTTGTATGTATCGCCCATGTTTAGTTTCAAGTATCTAAGTTAAAACTGTTAAACAGAATTAGAAATTGAATAAATAAATCGAATACAATCGGGCAATACCGAAATTGATACCGAAATTGTAAACAAAATGTAAATGTGAAAAATATAAGGACCAGATTATTGAATAAGAACAAAAATAATCGAAACGTGTTGTCTTTCTTGTAAAGTTGCCGTAGGCATTTGAATTAAATACATTCTTTAAAAAAACCGTTAATTTAAAAAAAAAAAAAACGTATGTTATTTATTTTCTATTCAATAAATAACATGTATACCGAGTAGAATAATTTTCGGGGCTGCGCAAAATGGCTTTTCCCGAAAGAATAAAAACTATCTCGATATAAACACAAAATGATTAATTACAATAAATATTTCTAAACTCCGCTGGGGGAGAAAGAAAAGTTTTTGAATGAAAGATTGTATTGTGACACATTCAAGACACGTCAAGAAACACCGACGGGTAATATGATATAATCGGAAAGTAAGACCCGACAAATTAGAAAAGTTATATACTGCGAAGGCGGCGCGTTATGCGTTTTGTCGGGACCTTAAACATCAGTAGACGGGCGAGGCATGTGCGGGGACCGGTAAGGCCGATACGTACGGGTCACTGTAAACGGACGGACAACGCCAAGGCGGACGGACGGTGTACGAGAAGACTCACGGGTCGGTAATGCGGAAGAAGCTGCAGCTTCAGATTGGGGAGTGCGGGTCACGCGCCGGGCGTTAACAAGAGCCTACGATTATCAAAGTTAACGACAACGACCTTAACCCGGTTAATTGTGTTTGGAGGGGGGGGGGAAACAAAAAAAAACAAAATCCAATTTATAATTTACGAATATTTACGTTAATTATCGCCGGTCTTGCGCCGCTGGAAACGCCGAGGGAAATCCGCCGCGACCCGCCCTTGTAATAATATTACGCTCTGGCGGTGGCGCGACGACGACGTCGAATCAAGATAACCGAAACGAATGCACCGTAAAACTGAACTCCGCAGTGTACATTGCGCACTGCAATATTGTTTCGGCCATGGTAATTGTTATTATTCATTACGTCCGTTCGGAACGTGTGAAATTTAATTGTTAATCCATATTAATCACCGTAGCGTTGTAATTAACGGAACGACGTTCGTTGTATGTGTACGGGCATATTACGGGCGCGGAAGACAGGGCGCGAAAAAAAATTAAAAAAAAAAAAAAAAATGATAACAATTATGCACCTACGTAAGTTACGCAATTATTATATAAAAACATAAATCGTTTACACGGGTTGCAGTGTTGTGTAATACAATACGCCGGGTCGCGTTATATTCCGCGAACGATAACAATCATATTACCCCGGACGTGTGGTTTTTTTTTTTGTTTTTTTTTTCCCCCTCGAAATAACGCAACTCAACGGTTAAACCAATTGAAAACGATATGTCAACCGCCACTGCAATTATGTATTAGTTACCCTGTAAATCGTATCTTCCTGGCTGCCCTTTCTACAACACTGAACAACGTGAGCGGGCGGCAACGGATTTTCGTGTATATGTTACGCTGTCCGAATGGGAGATTTCAGACAATAGGTAATATAGCTCAGGAACAAAATCAAAATGGAAATGTAAAAATATCGAAACCAGCACGTTTGAAAAAAAAAAAATAGCTGATATTGTTGATGGACGTGCCATTGTTTTACAGGGAGAATATTGTTCGGGATGATATACAAATTAATAAAATCGAGGTCATGTGTATGCGACGATAAATTGCTGTTAAT